GCCTGGGCTGCTGCCACCACTATTTCAGCGCACGGCCGAGTGGGTCTTTTCCCAGCCTCCTCCAATTGAAAAGCTGATGTTCGCCCCCCAAGAGCGTGCCAATCACGGGGTCTGCATACAGCATTCCATGGCCAGATGGACAGAATGTGGGTCTTCTGACCTGTCTGGAGTTACCCGTGCCTCCAGTCTCCCCTTGCCACCTCAGATCAAAGAGAACTTGCAACAAAAGCTCAGAAAAGGTTTGGAAAGAGACTCAGTGATTGTCCTGTGTCTTCACCCCAGTTTTGAGCAGTTCCAGTTTCCCCAGTGTCCCCAACACCTATATCTGCAGTAGCCCAAAAGCCGCTGACTTAACACAACAATCACTTCCACCCCTTGCAAGTCTGGAGGCCACCAGGTCCGCCTCTGCGGCTCTCCTTCGGGGGGCTCCCGTGCAGTCGCAGTTAGACAGTGGCCCGGCCCCAAGTCACCTGGAAGGTTTCCCCACCCGTGTTGTGAGCAGCGGATGCTGGGGACGGAGGCAGCGTCACGCGCTGTAACTTGCACAGCTGCATGAGGCCCCACCCTTGGAAGGTTTAACGCTCTGTTGTCACCATTTATAATTTTTGAATAAGAGGCCTGCATTTTCACTTTTGCACTAGACCTTGCAAATCAGGTAGCTGTTGGCCCGCACATCCTCAAGGCGTGGTGGCTGGGTTCCCAGCGTGAGGGCTTCAGGAGAGAGCCAGCCAGGCAGAAGCAGTAGCGCCTTTGCTGACTGAACCTAATTCTCCTCCGGCAGGGGGTGGCACGGGCACAGTACAGCGGTGGCGAGGTGCTGTCAAGCTGTCCTCGGAAAGTGCAGTTCGCCACCTCTGGTCTCAAGCAGGTCACCTCCCATCCCTGGCCTCAACCTCCCCATTTGCAGAAGGGTCAGGAGAGGGGTTCGGTTCCCCTTTGGGAAAAGGACCCAGGGAGAGTCGGGACTTTGATTTTCGAAGCAGCTTCCAGCTTTTCCCCTCCCGGGTATTTTACCAAGTACCCAGAGGAGCTGGAAGCGGGGATCAAGCCCGCGGGACCCAGGAGCTCTCGAAGGCCGCCCCCCTGGAGGTCTGCACCCTCTGAGGAAGACAGGGAGTCAGCATCCTGACATCTGTTTCTCCTGCGGCATCGCTGTTTGGCTAACAATTCCTCTCCTTTCATTTCTCCCTGGGGCACGTTGTTGTCTTTCTCATTAACTTCCCTTCAGCTCCCAGCAAGGTCCCTAGACTCTGAGCTCTGCTAATTCCCCTGTAATCTCCTGGCAAACCTGGAAGCTAATTAAATTATGACTTTGTGCGGCACTTTCTGTCAATCTCTTCGTCTCTCTTCTCAGTCTCTCTCCCTCCTGTGTCTTTTCTTTCCCGTTCTTACTAGCCCTTACCCGCCATGACATCCGTGGAAAGAACCCTCCCGAACTGAGCCAACTGTTCCCTCCCAAGCCCCCCCATGCCACCTCCTCCGGCATTCCTATTCTGGACCCTGTCCCTTCTCACTAGGTCAGGCCTGCTCTGTGACTCGTTCCTGATCTCCCCAGCTGGACGCCTCCCTCCCCGAGCTCGCAGCACTTTGCAGTTCTCTCCCCCTTCGCTGACCTCTTTTTCACCCATTACGGTTCTTTGGGTCCACACCCAGCCACACTATTACATGATTAGCTTCTTTAGAGCTGGGTCTCTAGGTCTTACTCATCTGCCTTCTGAGCACCAAACTAACATTGTTTTGGCACACGTTCTTGTCTCCTGGCCCTAAGTGGCAACCGGCGCTCCAGTCTTCATGTGTACATTCCAGGAGGAGAAGAGGGTGGGCAGGCAGAGTGGCCTCCCCACTGAGTCGGTCCCTATAAAGCATTTTCCCTCCCAGTAACTTCTGCTTACATCTGGTTGACCATGCCTAGGTTCAGGAGACACGGTACACTGCCTGCCTTCAAACTGAAGAGCTCATCTCTCATTTTACAGATGAAAAAAATAAAGCCCAAAGAGGAATAGAGGACTAGGGAGGCTGCAGCGCACAGTGGTTAAGGACTGGGTTTTGGAGATAGGCAGACTTGGGTTTGAATCCTGCCCCTGCATTAACCTATTTATTTCTCATTTGTAAAGTTGAGTTAATGATACATACTTCGGGAAATGAAACAGTCCTGGCCAGTGTGGCTCAGTGGATTGAGTACCAGCCTATTGAACCAAAAGATCACTGGTTCAATTCCTGGTCAGGGCAGATGCCTGGGTAGCGGGCCGGATCCCAGGTTGGGGGTGTGTGAAAGGCAACTGACGGATGTTTGTCTTGCACAACATATCGAAGTGTCTCTCCTTTTCTCCCTTCCTTCCCCTCTTTCTAAAAATAAATAAATAAAATATTTAAAAATTTTTCCATTGTCTCGGTTTAGATTTGGGTGCAGGTTGTTTATCCAGGAAGTGATCCCAAAAAACAGAGCAAGGGAGTGGGCAAGAAAAATGAGGAAGGACGGCAAGTAACGCATGGATGCAAGGGGCTGAGAGGTTCGGCTCCTCCACTAGAACTGGAGCCTCCCTGGCTGAAGGTTGCCCCGGAGGCGGTAACTCTCCACCTCCAGCCTGCCCCACACTCACTCCCACAGCTAAGGATGCCTCAGAGAGGCCTGGGAAGTTTGGCAAGTTCTGGAACTGTCTGCAGGTGACCTGCCCTTTGCGGGGCGGGGGTGGGCACTGACGGCATCTGTAATATTCAGTAAAAGGACCTGCTATTGAAACTACAATTGCGTTGTGATGGCTGCAACTTAGCTACGAAGTAGGAGCTGCAGCCTAGCTTGGGGCTCTCCTCCCTGGACCCTGGGCCCCCTCGCCCAGCACCAGGTGCCCCCATCAGCTCGCGGCGTCCTCTTCCGCCACATCCCTTCCCCAGGGGCCTCCCTCTGGCCCCAGTCCCCTGAAGCAAACCCTGCTGCCTTCTGCTTGGTCACCTGTCTCTACCCCAAGCCCTGCCTTCTCTGGAGAGACTGTGGGTAGACCCAGGTCCACCCACAGTGTCAAAAGGCTTTCGGCCTAAACCAGGCCCCCTGCGGGAGTTTAATGAGTCCTGCCTTCTTCCCTCCCTCCCCACCATTGCAATCACACCTTCCAAGGGCACCTTTAAGATGGCATCCTCACCACCACCTCGTCTGTCTGACTGATGTGGCTCCGTTGGTTGGACGCCGTCCGCAAGGCGAGAGGTCGCCGGTTCAATTCCCGGTTGGGACCCATGCCTGGGTGGCAGGTTTGGTCCCCAGACAGAGGGGGCATGTGAAGAAGGTAATCGCTGTCTCTCCCTCTCTTTCCCTCTCTTTAGAAATAAATAAATAAAATCCTTAAACAAGACAAACAAAAAAAAGATGGCAGCCCCCGCCCTCATGGTCCAGAGGAGGACCAATGCCCTAAGAAGGGCTGAGGGGGTAGAGGCGGCCAGAGGTTGGCCTCCTGCCGGCCCCAGCCCAGCTGCTACGTTCCTGTGAGGTTTGCCCCACCCTCACCCTGCCCCATGCCCTCTCCAGAAGGCCTTCAAGCTGGTAAAGGAAATAGCCGTGATCTGGCCACACAGGCGCTTCACCCTACATACACCCCTGTGCCCAGCCTCTGCTCACTGCTTTCCTCGAAGGCACATGCTCATTCATTCATCATTTGCCTAACACCCTGAAGAAAACGTAATGAGCTAATCGTCATTATCAACACCCTCGCAAGGACTAACACGTATTAAATTAACCGGGATCACGGAAGTTTGGGGGTAACCGAAGGAGAGCGCCAGAGGGCTTCGCGGGCACCACGTTTCTTAGAGACCATGCAGGGGGTCTGGGGCAGAGCCAGGACTGGAGCTCAGGCCTCCGGCCCCAGCTGGCCAGGCCAGGCAGAGGACACCGGCAACTGGCACCTCAGAGGAGGGCTTGTCCAAAGCCACCCACTCCGCCCAGTGAGGGCCAGGCAGGCCACCCCCTCCACAGGGGTCACGAGAGGACAGCAGCTCCCTGAGAAACCTCCATGGGGTCAACGCCCAGAGTGGGGCCTCGACAAGGGCCTCTGATGTGCTGAGGGCTGAGGGCAGCTGTTCCCAGCCCTGGCGTCTGGCTGGATCCTGCTACCCTGGTTCCAGTGAGGCCGGTGGTCAGTGTCTCTCTGCAAACAGGCCCTTCGAGTCCTCCCACTGCCCGCCTCAGTCTTCTCCCTTCTCTCAGGCGCTGACAAAGCAGCCTTTCCAGCCCCCGTTCGGTTCTGCCCCAAGCTCACCCCTCCGTCTGCACCCCCTCCCCGGGGGGCCCAGACTGACCCTGCGAGTCTGAGACCTCTGTCTTCTTCCTCCTTCCTAACCGAGGGTGGGTATTTTCAGATTTGGAGGAGAGGAAGAAAATTAGGTCGTTTGAAGCCCTTCCTATACTGGCGACATTGACCCATTTATCCTTCTCTTCCTCAGACCCCCTCCCCCAGTGCCACTCAGCCTGGACCTCTGTCCCAGCTAAAATCTCACCTTCCACTGTCCTTGCAGCCCAGAGGCCAGTGTGGCCTCGGTGTCCTACTCCAATGCCCTCTCCTCAAATCAGGCAGGAGGGTGGTCTGTAGAGCGCCCTGGCCACCCCCAGTTTGGCCTCTGTTTCCCCCTCTGCTAACTTGGATTAACGGTGCCCGCACCCTAAGGGATGAAGCAAGCCCTGGGGAAGTCGCGGATGAGGGAGGGCGCTGAGCGCAGCGCCGCCGGCGCAGGGCCCTCCCTGGGGCCGCGCCCCGGGCCCCTGCTCGGCTCCCCTCGGCGGCGCGCCCCTCCCTCTCCTTCCCTCCCCGCTCCCCCTCCCGCGGGTCTGCGCGGTTCGCTCCCCCGCTGCCCTCTCGCCTCGCTGCCCCGCGTCCACCCGGGGTCCCAGCGCCCCGCCGCCGCCTTGGGTCCGGGAGCAGTAGCCCGAGCCCCCGCCGTCCCGCCAGGCCCCGCCCGCTGCAGCGCGGGCGGTCAGTGCGCAGCCCGGCGCCCGCGCGGAGCCCGGAGCCCGGAGCCCAGAACCCGAGCCGGATCGCGGGCTCAGAGCGAACCCGACGCGACCGCGGTCTGCAGCCAGGTGCGGGCGGCTCGGGGGCTGGGGGGCGAGGGCAGGGGCGGGGGTGGAGGGGGAGCCGGGGTTCTCCTTTATTGGGAGCGAGGGCGGGAAGGCGCGGGGAAATCGGGTCCTTCCTCCCCGAAAGGAGGACCTGGGAGCTTTTTAATGAAAGAGGCTCAAGGGCTTTTTCGCCGAAGGGATGGATGAAGGAGGGTCTGCGAGGAGGGGCCTGCCGATAGGGAGTCTGGCGCACCCCTTTGTGAGGGATTTTTTTTTCCATGAGAAATGATTAATTGGCTTCTGTGAAAGGGGGGCTTATTGGGAGCATCAGGGGCTTTCAGGGTAGATGGGGAGGGGGTTCTGGCTGGGCTTGAAGGAGGGGGTATTTGGAGAGGGGGTCTGGGCGGGGAGGGGGGCTCGAAGGTCCTCTTAGCCTGACGTCCGCCGCTGCACGTCCCCCGTGGGTTTCTTGGGGCTCTGGGTCTGCCCCCCGCTCTGTGTCCCAGTTTCTCTCTTTGGAGATGACTATTCTGAGCCCCACCTGGACAGAGCTAGGGACAGCCATTTCCTTCCTTGCAGCTGTGGTGCCCACCTGACACGCTGCTCACCTGGCCTGCTCCGCGAAGCGGGGTTAGGCAGGGGCGGGGACCTGGGCGTCAGGGAACTGGGCGGCGGTGGGCGAAACGGAGGCGGACTTCTGGGCCCGCAGGAGGACCTGTGTGTGGCACTGGCGGGGACACCAGACCTGGCAGGGAGCTTGCGGGGGTGGAGGGGCACAGGGTGGTCAGGTGTAAGGGGGCAGGACAGCTAGGGGAGGAGCAGGGTCAGGAAGAGCTCAGATGTTCCCACACTTTTCAGAAGGCAAAACGCTAGAGCTTTTTGTTTGGTCGGTTGGTTTTAGTTGGGTTTGCTTTCTTTCTCTGTCACCCCAATGCCAAGACTCATTCCACTTGCCTCTCCTATTTTTGCAAAAAAGAAAACTGAGGCAGGGGACAGGCTGGCTGGAGATATCGGCATCTAGGAAAGGAGGACATGCTGAATTTGGCGTCAGAAGGCCCCGGTTCAAGCTTGCCTCAGTGCTCCATGGGTGGCCTGAGTCCGCAATGCTTGGTCTTGTTGGTTCTCAGCTTTCCTCATCTATGAAGTGTGAGAGCGCCCACCAGCCTCCCAAGTTCACCATGAGCCCATGTTTCCAGAGTTTTGTAAAGGCGAATGCAAGGTGCAATCTTAAAAAAAAAAAAAAAAAAAAAAAAAAAAAAAAAAGATTTTATTAATTTTTAGAGAGCAGGGAAAGGAAGGAGAAAGAGAGGGAAACATCGATGTCTTGTATTCCTCTGACCAGGGGCCTTGGGACCTGGCCTCCAACCCAAGCATGTGCCATGACTGGGAATCAAATTGGTCACATCTTGCTTTGCCAGATGACATTCAATGTACTGAGCCATGAGGTTCAGGCCTGTGAGGTACTGAGCTCCACTCAGTACCCCTACAGAGGCAGATGGGTTCCCTCCCAGCCCCCCTCCCACCAAGGGCAACGGCCAGCCCGTGGCGGGGGAGGCTTTGTAGGAATTAGGAAAGGTGCCGCCTCTGGAGGAAGAGTGTTCAGCTGAGATTGGCACTTGGGGCCTTTATTATGAGGATTAGAAATAGGCACACTTTCCCCTACGTGCATCAGCCCCACGCATCCGGGCAAATATACTGTGGGTTAGATCCCAGGGCCCATCTACCCTCAGGTGAACGTCCTTGTTGTGTAGGACACACCTGCACCTGGCAACCCATCTCAGCAGACACAAAGCTACACACACTCCCAGGGTGTTGCCTATAGAAGCCCACATCTGAGGCTGTTGCCAGCTCCTTTTCTGTCCGGCTTTTTCTCCACTTCAGGGCCTTTGGGCATTCAGTCCCCAAAGCCTGTGCCTACTGGGAAGCATGGTGGAATCTCACCATCAGAGAGTGACTCCTTGGTGTTAAGCTGTGCCTTCGGCAAACTCCCCAGGGTAGGCGTTACCGAGTCCCTAACCCCTTGTGTTAAGAGTGCGATCAGATTGTTTTCTCAAGGCCAAGAGCAGAAGCATCTACACACCCGGGTGGCACAGCTGTGCACAAATTGGGTGCACTCCTGCTATCTCAGAGCATCCTCACAGTGAGCTTGTGAGGGAGGTCTCCTTCCCATTTACACAGAGGAAGCCGTGCCCAGAGAAGTTAAGGCACTTGCCTAAGGTTTCCCAGCTTGTAAGTGGTAAAGCCAGGACTCAAGCCCAGGTCTAGCTGTCTGTCCTCTCCACTCCACCACTGAGGAATAAAGCTGCTGACCTCACAGTCTTGTCAAAGTCCCGCTCGAATTGTTGCGCTCCCTCTCTGTTCCCAGCAGCTCCTGGTTCCCTCCTTCTGCTCAGAGGAAGGAGTCACTGTCACTTCCTCTAATTTCATGGGGGGAAGAAGCTCCCTCAAAGCTCAACTATTCTGGCCTCTTTCCTGCAAAAGAACACCTGGGGAGTCCAGAGGTTGAATGTGGAAGCTGACCCTTGAGAGGGTCAGCGGCTAGTTCCATGCCCAGTGGTCATCACTGAGGACATCAGTACGGCAAGCTAGTGCCTGCATGAGGCAAGCCCAGGGTCCCCGATGGCCACAGGAAAATGCAGCAACCTGGAAGCTGAAGGAAACTCAGAGATCCCCTTCCCCACGCCCTGACCAACCCCTGTGTCCCCAGGGCCCCCGGGTGCCAAGGGGAAGGGGATGGGGTAAACACAACTATAGGCCTCTACAGAGGGAGCATTTCTGCTTGTGTCTGTGCGATGCGTTTGAGCTTACATCTGAGGAAGGGGTTCTGGTGCCTACAAAAAAAGTTTGAAGGCTTACTGGCCTATTAGTTCCCAAGATGTGGTCCCGGGACCAGTGTCTGCATTACCCAGGAATTTGTTAGAAATGCAAATTCTGAGGCCATGTCCTAGACCTACTAAATGGAAACTCTGGAGATGGGCCTGTGTTTGAACAAGATCCCCAGGTGACACTGAGGACTGCTTAAGTTTATGAATGATTGATCTAGTCCCAAGTGTATAGGAAACAAGAGTCCTAGTTGTGGGTCAAGGGCAGGGCTGGGAAGAGAATCCATCTCTTGGCCTGGGAGCTCCGGGAATTTGCAGGTGGCCCCTCCTTCCAACCCTCCTGTCCTTCCCCTTCTGCCTCCCGTCCCAGGCGCCATGCTGCCACTCCTGCTGGGCCTGTTGAGCCCGGTAGCCTGTTGGGCACTGGGCCCGGCGCCAGGCTCCACGGAGCTGCGCTCGGCCTTCTCTGCAGCACGCACCACTCCGTTGGAGGGCACGTCGGAGATGGCGGTGACCTTCGACAAGGTGTACGTGAACATCGGGGGCGACTTCGACGCGGCCACGGGCCAGTTCCGCTGTCGCGTGCCCGGCGCCTACTTCTTCTCCTTCACGGCTGGCAAGGCTCCGCACAAGAGCCTGTCGGTGATGCTGGTGCGCAACCGCGACGAGGTGCAGGCGCTGGCCTTCGACGAGCAGCGGCGGCCCGGGGCGCGGCGCGCCGCCAGCCAGAGCGCCATGCTGCAGCTCGACTACGGCGACACGGTGTGGCTGCGGCTGCACGGCGCCCCGCAGTATGCGCTGGGCGCGCCCGGCGCCACCTTCAGCGGCTACCTGGTCTACGCCGACGCTGACGCGCCTGCGCGCGGCCCGCCCGCGCCCCCCGAGCCGCGCTCTGCCTTCTCGGCGGCGCGCACGCGCAGCCTGGTGGGCTCGGACGCCGGCCAAGGGCCGCGGCACCGGCCACTTGCCTTCGACACTGAGCTGGTCAACATCGGGGGCGACTTCGACGCGGCGGCCGGCGTGTTCCGCTGTCGCCTGCCGGGCGCCTACTTCTTCTCCTTCACGCTGGGCAAGCTACCGCGCAAGACGCTGTCGGTGAAGCTGATGAAGAACCGCGACGAGGTGCAGGCCATGATTTACGACGACGGCGCGTCGCGGCGCCGCGAGATGCAGAGCCAGAGCGTGATGCTGGCGCTGCAGCGGGGCGACGTCGTGTGGCTGCTCAGCCACGACCACGACGGCTACGGGGCCTACAGCAACCACGGCAAGTACATTACCTTCTCCGGCTTCCTGGTGTACCCCGACCTCGACCCCGCCGGCTCGCCTGGTCTCGGGCCCCTGGAGCTCTGAGCTCCCACCCGGAGAGGAGCCCGAGGACGTGCATGCCGGGCCGGGCTGGCCCAACCGTGGCCCAACCCTCCGCCGGCGCGAGCATGACGGCCCGCCCGGGGCGGCTGGACTCTGCCAATAAAGGGGGCCTGCGCCGGCGCCTGTGTTTTTGGGGTCCTGTTCTCTGTCTTGATTGCGACAGGTTTGTCTTAGAGCTGTCTTGGAGTGGGCGGGAAGACACTGACTACTGGGGGGGGGGGGTCAGAGGTCAAAGGCCACAATTCGGTCAGGCCCCGGGAGGGGAGGAGATAGGAATTTGATGGAAGCCCCCACAGCTAACCCGTTGCGGGACCCCCATTCATGTCCCTTTCCAGTCATTTCCTCTGCCTGACTCCTCCCCCCGACCTTCAGTGTCATTCTTAGGGCCCACTGATGGCTGATTCCTCTCTGTGACAAGGGGCAACGCTCTCCTCCTTCTCAAGGTATGGGAGGCGAGGAAACAGCACGTTGCTGCTTCCAGCAGGGCGTGTGAGTGGGGTGAGCAGGTAGCGCCCGGTTGCCCCAGCCCCTGCCTTCCCAGGACAGGGAGGGCGATTTGCCCAGGCAGCAGTGAAACAGCTTCCTCTGACATGGAAGGATACAGAAGGCCAGAACAGAGCGTTTTATAGGATGAGCCACACAGAATCAGGGTCTACGCCAGCCAGCCCCCACTGGTCTCGCTGTCCGTCCCCTCCCAGCCCCATTCCTTCCTCTGAGGTATTCATCGGAGCCTTGTTGAGATGGACTGAAAAACATTCCCCCCGCCAAAAAAAAATAAAGTTCTGTACCTGTTTCCCTTCACTCACCGAACAGACCAAATTAAGAATGCCCAGTTTATTCTCCCAGCTCAAATGGGGAGCTTTGAGCTTCAGGGACCCCGGACCAGTGGTTGGGCTCAGGGGGTCTCTAAATTAGGACTGGGTGCTGGGCACGGGAAGGCTCCTGTTACTCTCATGGACTGCCAGAGTGGGTGCTGGAGGGTCTGACCGGGCCTTACTTAGGGGCAGCTTCCCTTACAGCATCTCAAACACACTTCTCAGCCTTGACCTCACCGTGCGTGCGTGTGTGCGCACGCACACACACACACACTCTGCCTGCAAGTCCTGCCTTCAGCTCTATACCTGCTGCCCAGGACCCAGAGCCCAAGCTCTTAGTCTATCAGGACCCAAGGAAGGAGGGGGAGAAGTAAACAGGAGTCCAGGCTGCAAGCCAAGCCCAGAGACCTGAACACAGTGGGAAGAACCAAGCACCGGGTGGAAGCCCCTGCCTAGGATGGGTCTGGCTTAGGGGTGGGGATTGGGGGGCTGTCAGGTGAAAGGGGAGGGTCAGGGGAAGGGGTCAAGGATTGAGGCCCAGGGCCCCAAAGAAGGGGGCTGGCCCTGGGGACAGAAGCCTTTGCACAGGTCCCAGAGTGTTTCCTGTGCCAGGAGGGTGAAGACCTGCGCCCAGCGACCCCTCTCCTCAGCCTCGAAAGCCTTGTGGAGCCGGTAGACACACGATAGGCCTGTGAGGAGCAGACGTTCAAAGTCCCAAGGGCTAAGAGGAGGCCCCTTCCGCAGGTTCTGGAACTGTTGCAGCCGCCGCTCAGCACCCTGCAAGTCACTGGGCACCTGGTGCTGCAGGAGGAGCCTGAGTCGGTGGCCCGGACGTGTGGATGCCAGTTCCTCGTCCTGGATGTGCAGCTGCCCCATGACATCCAGCTGCAGCCCAGCCCAGAGCAGCTGCAAGGGGAGCCATGTAAGGAGTGGGCAGGGGTCTGCGGGACAGGGCAGGGAGCAAGAGTGGGCCAGGGGGGCATAAGCAGGCAGTAGGACCCAAGCTGGGTGCCCCCTCCCCCAGCATGCCCAATTTGAGACATCCCCCTTCCCAACCCCGAGTTTAGGGACCTCTGGAAGCTCCCCCCTCCCCCATGTCCCAGGCTGGAGGAGAGACCTCAAACATCACTTCCGGGACCTCTGGCTCCTGCAGGCCACCTCCCACAGTGGTGTTGTCCATGGGCTGCCCTGGGGCAGCAGAGAGAAGTCAGGCCCCTGCCAAGCTTCACCCTAAACACCCCAGCACCCCAGAAGTGCCTGTCGGCTGCCGGGTGAGGGTGCATAGAGGTTCCCCCAGCTGCAGAAGTGCAGGACTGCCATTCCATGCCTTCCTCCCCTACGCACACCTGCACATTGGCATTTACTAACCCAGGCATAGGTCTTACGATCCCAAAATCATCATCCCAAACCCAGATACCTCCCCGGCAAATGTCCAGGACTCTTTGAACTTCTACAGTTCCCTTGGCCAGAAGCTCCAGGCCAATGGGTCACAAGACACTTTACGTCCAGCTTCCCCTCCCTGTCTTCATCTGGGGACAGTGTTATCTAAAACAGTGCCTGTGACCTTCTCCAAAGGTTAAGGACCCTTTTGGGAAGAACCCAGTCCTTCCTTACTCCTCAGTAGTGATGTCTGTTGCAGCTTCCTTCATCCCACCCCAGGGCAGATTAAGGGGGTGCTGCTTTGGGCATCATCTGGAATAAGCCCAGGCCCAGCTCTGTCCAGGGCCAGCACGGAGGGCAGCTAGGGCCATCGCCCTTCACTTCACCTGACCAGTCCAGTTCTGGGGGTGGGCCCCGCGCCATTAGCCCCCATAGCACAGGTCAGCCTGGTACAGACCATGCCGTTTCCAGGCCCTGCTAGGCTCAGGCAGAACCACCTGTAACTGCTATTAGCCAGCAGCCTTCCTTGGCTCCCACCCACCCCACCCTGAAGCTCCGGTACCTGCGTGGTGCTGGGTTGTAGTCACCCCAGGGAAGAGGCAAATGGCTACCATCAGCCAAGCCAGGAACCGCATTCTCCCCGCCATGCCCCACCACGTCCTCTGAGCCGTACTCTCCCCGGCCGCTCTCTGCTCCTGTATCCGCCTGCCACACACCATGGCTCCAACTTTCCACTGCAGGCTGCTCAGGCGTTCCCTGCTTCACGTGTCAGTCATCAGAGCTAACAGGGAGGGGCTGGCTCTGGCTTCCCAGGGGCTCTTTCCATCCCGTAGAAAATGTGGAATCTTTAGCTGTTGGCAGGAGCCTGGCTCTCTGCTTGTCAGGCGCTCAGCCTGTTCCTACCAGATGGGCAGAATGCTTAGTTAATAGAATAAAGGTGTTCGGTAGCCAACAGTGAGCTCTACCCTCCCAAAAGGGAGGAAAGACCCCAGGCAGTAAGAGCACCTTACCGTCTGTACTCACCCCCAAAACACCCTGCAGCTGATGCCCAGTCCCGCTCAGCCTCCAGGGAGCCCCTCGGCAGCCAGAAGCATCAGCTGCAAAGCCCAGTCCTCCAAAGGCCTGGCAGACGGACTGGGCAGCCCATGGACAGGCAGGGCCGAGCGCTTCCACCTCAGGCACTCGGCCAGGCCGGCGGGGCCCACCCAGGCCAGCTGGGGTGGGGAGTGCTGTCTCTCTGGAAGACAGATCTGCAGCGCCAGGATTTCTTTGGTCCCTGCCCTGGGACAGCCTTTGCTTGTTTACAACATCCTTGGCTCAGGCTAGAGTCCAGGAAGATTCCCTTGGTCCCAACATGATGGGCTGTCAGGTTGCAGGAAGCAGGATGCAGAGTTCAAGACTCAAAAATGAGCTGTGGTTCTGCCTGGCTCTGGCTGCTGACTCGTGGAAGGAACCCTTGGATGTCTGGATGGACGGAGGGTGGGCAGGGTTACCCTGGACCCACAGGCTACCACAAGGGGCTTTCCACAGCAGTTGTTGAGGCCCTTCCAGTTCTCAGGAGGCCATACCACACCCATCCTGAGCCCTGTACACTATGGGAACTTTTGATTTCAGCTCCAGAATTCCTTTCTCAGAAATGCATGCAGGCTGCAGGTCACCCTGTCTGCACCTGCACTATTTAGTCCCATTCAAACAGACTCTGGTTGGTAGTCTCTCTGAGGGAAAGGCCCCTGCCTGCACCTTCCCTCTTCCGACTCAGCGCTTGGTGAGGATAAGCACACAGGCAGTGGCGACTCTCAGTAGGATTTTATTTACACAGACAATAATAGATAAGATGCTTTCTAGGATCCATATGCTGTCCCTGGAGCTACTTGGCTTCGGGTTTCTTGTCTCCGGATTCAAGCTTGAGACTCTCAGGGGGCTGGCGATAGGCAGGGAAAGCCTCCCATGGGCTATTCAGGTCAAACTTGCGAAACTCCTGGGCCAACTCCACTGGCTCCGCTACCACCCGCTTCACCTCATCGTCATAGCGTAACTGCAGAAGAAAAAGGCAGGTTTGTGGGTGAAGGCAGGCCTCTCACAGTAAGCAGCCCTCTTTCCCACGGCCGTGGGTGACTCCTCCAGCCCCTCTACTTCTCTGCTCTGGACCCCTGTTCTAGCCTGTCTCCAGTCTCCACCCACAGCTGTTACTCTGGGCCACAGTCCACAATGGCTTCTGCCTCACGCCCTGACCACCATATCCTCGTGCGCTCTTATTTCCTTTTTCCAGCAGGACTGATTGTGCTCCGCCATCCACAGCCTTTATAAGGTAATACGCAGGTTAGGGAGCAAGTCAGGGCCTGAAGAGAGTACACCTAAATTGGCAGGCACTCATGTTCAGGTCCTGTGGCCTGGCCTTGGCATTAGATGCAAGGCAGTAAATTCTGGCATGGTTTTCCTTTTTTAACTTTTTTTTTTAATTGATTTTTTGAGAGAGAGATGAAGGGGCGGGGCGAGAGAGAAACATCAATTTGGTGTTCTACCTATTTATGCATTCACTGGTTGAGTCTTGTATGTGTCCTGACTGGGGCTTGAACCCGCAACCTTGGGGTATTAGGACAATGCTCTAACCAGCTGAGCTACTTGGCCAGGGCTATGGCTTTTCTTGTTATTGGAGGATCAGCTGGATAAGGTAAAAATAAACAGGTGCTGGTGTGAAGAGGCAATGCAGATTAGGGGGCCAGTCGGGGTGACAGAAAGGGGGAAGAGAGGGAAGGGACCCCGGCCAGCAGTAGCGTGAGAAGGAAATGGGACCATGCAAAATACTAAGAAAACAGGAGCATTTGGACACTAAAGAGAAGGGTTGGACTGCCACTTTATCAGTATTTCTAGAGTTAGTTTGCTGCAAAATCACCTTTGTCTATGTATACGATAGGCCATTCTTCCTGCTAGTAAACAACCGGCTGCACAACACAGGTAGCAGAATAAAACACTGACATTCTTCACAAGGCCCTTATAGACCCATGTTACCAGTCCTGCCTCTGGCCATTCTCAAGACTGAAATGTTGGCTCCCTGCCAGCTCCCTTCTCAGTGATCCAGGGCACGACAAAATGAATGCTGCACTTTCAGATCTTGGGGACAGACTACGTGCGTCCTTAAGGCTGCCCAGGTCACTACGATGATCGCTACAATAATGGCTAACGTCAACTGAACATTTCAAATATACCAGGCTTTACACATACATCATTTCACTCACTGCAAATCTCAATTGGTTAAGTACTATCGTTCCCATTTTGAAGATGCAAAACTTGTGTCATAAAGAAATTAAGTAACTTGCCCCAGATTTCAGAAGTGGATGTAGGATTTGAATCCAGAACCTACACTGTCAAACCACCACAATCCATGTTTCCTGCCACACCCGGGACCCCGAAGGATCCCTGTCAGTCCCTCCCTGAGTCTGCTACCACTGTTCCAAGGCTCCTACCTCAACGTAGCCCGACAGGGGGAAGTCTTTCCGGAAAGGGTGTCCCTCAAAGCCATAGTCTGTCAGGATTCTTCTTAGGTCAGGGTGGTTAGCAAAGAAGACTCCAAACATGTCCCAGATCTAGAAAAAAAGAGGCCTTCAGGCAACCAGTCCATCATGGCCAACACCGGGGTGAGGGGCTAGGCCGCACAGTCGTTTCACCCAGTTCTGCACCTCTGGCCCAAAGGCAGTGTCCACCATGTCCAGGAACTCACCTCCCTCTCATACCAGTTGGCTGCCTTATACACAGAGACAGTGGACTCGATGGGTGTCAGCTCATCCGTGTAGGTCTTCACTCGGATCCGGGAGTTGAAGCGCAGAGAGAGCAGGTTGTAAACAATCTAGGGAAAACAGAGGGAATGGAGGACCAAGACGGCCACAGGCTGAAGGGTTTGAGGCGGAAGTCCCTGAGGGGGAACATCAATGATGAGGACATGAGCTGAATTAGGGTTCCGCCTGATGAACCTGACTTCGGTCCTAAAGCTCAAAACCTCAAGATACTCCAAAGGCCTAAGCCACGGTGGTATGTCGCTCAGCAGGTATGTTGTCACGCTCGTCTTTGTTCATGCTGTTCCCTTGTCTGGGATGTCTCCGGAACCCACCTGCCCCAACCCCAGTCCTCAATGGGTTAATTCGTAGTGTTCCGGGCATCCTCTAAGACTCAGCACATTCTCTCTCCCTTCAAAGAAGCCTCCCAGACAGGGCTAAGTGGCCCGCCTGCATTCTTACAGCATGTCTCTTATGTCCCATGTGTTACATGTTATTACAGAAAGCTGTTTGTGTGTCCTCCGCCCTCACTAGAGTGTGGGGGACTCCTGGAGGCCAGTTATTAGGTGTTATTTCTCTCTCTATCCCAGAATCTGGCAAACAGTATATGATCAATAATATCAATAGCTAAACCTTTAGAGAGACCGTGTGCTAGTAATCTACCTATACTATCCTATTTAGTCCTCACAAACACCCTAAGGTAGGGACAATTTTATACTAATTCTGCACATAAGAAAACTGAAACTCAAAAAGATGAAACAAAATGCTTGAAGTCACACGGCCTGTAGGTGGCGGAGCCATGATTCAAACTTGAGGTATCCCTGATTCTGAGGCCCCAGTTTAACTCTTTGCTGAACTGTTTGACGCAAATTGAAACCAAGAAGGCTATGGTTCCTATTGGTAAGCGTCACCCTCCAAGTGTTCTGTCCCCTTTCCTTCCTTCATGCCATAAACCTTCTCAAATCACCTGACTGACCTCAAAACGGTTCTGCCGGGTCGGGATGTCCACTGCTGTCAAGTCAGCCAAGGATTTGAACTGTGCATTGGTGTGATCCCTGAGGAAAGTCAGCACTGGAATGACTCCATCGGGATGGATACAGATCTCTAACTCGTTGAAGCAGGATACCTGCAGACAGCAACAGGAGAGGAGCGACAATAAAGAGCTACCAAGGGAGCAGCTAACTTCATCTGATCTTCCTGATCTACGGCAGAGAAAGAAGCCCAAGTTGGGATGGAGGAATCTGTGGTTTCTTTCATGTGCCCACTTCCACATGACCTGAGAATACAGTTCTTTCTTGACCCCGACCAAACAACAGTAGTGAATATTACCTGAGCTTGTTGGACATACTTAGGCAGGATTTCAGCCACATACTCTCCAAAAGCTGAGAGCTGTTTGTGGACCTCATCATTCCGTGGTCTGACAGTGGCTAGAAGGGGAAGGCATACTTCATAAAGGAATGGCAAAGGCAGCAGCCAGCCCTGCATCCAGTCTGGGCTTATAAGGGGCTCCCTATAGAACTTTGAGAAGGGTGAAGGTGGAGGGTTCATCTTCCAGGAAATGGGAGGTGATGAAAATTTAGGGGGAATTTCAACTACACAGCAAAGGCTGTCATTACTGAAGTTGGGGTGTTTGCCTCTTCCCAAAACTACTCCACGGTCCTTCCTTCACAATGCCTGCATTTCTGCTAAAGCAGCATGTGTCTCAGCTCGCTTCCCAGATTAGGGGCTCTTTAAGGGTGGGAATCGTAACATTCTCTTCTGTGCATGTCCTTAGCCCTTAGCTCATAGCTCATAGCAAGCTCTCAGTGTAAGAACTTCGGGGCTTAAGAGCCCTCGCGGATTACCTAGTTGAAACCTTATTTATTTAAACTAATAAAAGAAGAAACTAAGGCCTAAAAAGGGAAAAATGCTACGTCTCCTGACTCCCAGTTGACTAGGTCGACTGTAACATATTTCTACACACGGATTCATGCAACCCTAAATCACTGAGCACCTGCACATCATCCACAGCAGGGTAACGGTTACGTGTTTTCTGTCTCTGGCAGCAGGCCCGTTTGCTCTGTCACTCATTAATGGTGTAACCCTGAGCAAGTTATTTCTCTGGACTGTTTCCTGATCCACAGTATGAAAAGTAATACTATCGACTTAATAAGATTGTTGTGAGGACTAAATAAGGTCATTCACAAAAACACTTCGTGGTTGCCAGACACACAACAGGCACTTAATTAATGTGAGCTACTCTTACAACCGGCTATTGGGCTCTGAGGCTCCAATGTTATGTTTCCTGCTCTCAAACAGCTGACAGTTTAATCAAACAAAAAAAGAATCATAGAAATGGACAAGGGCAGATCAGGGCCATAACAGAGAGGTCCAAGGGCACAAGGAGGGTGAGGACCACTGCAGTCAAATCTCCAAGGACAGATCTGCCAGGACGCAGGGAAGTGCGTCCCAGAGCAAGGGCAAACATGACGAACAGAATGAGGGGAACCCGCCTGCAGTAGGGAGAACGGCCGGGCCCTCACATACTCACGGCGCGCGTCGGCTGCAGCGCTTTCCCTCCTCACTGGCAGCAACAGCGCCGCAGGTCGCCCGACCACTGCACAGGGAGACAAAAGGCAAAGGAGCGCAGGGTGAGCGCAGAGGTTGCACCGCTGCTTCCTGCCCCGGGCCTCATTCAGTTATTCCCCGCTCACCTCTGGGCATGGCCGCGGCTCCCACGAACCCCCGCCATAAGGCCCTAGCTGCCGCCATGTTGCCGGGATGCAGACCAAACACCGGCGTCCAGACCCACAGGACACGGAGCCCCAAGGGCACGGACCGGAAGCGGAAGTGTTCCTTATATCTTCTTCCGGGCGGCCGCGAGGCCGGAAGCAGAGGTTCCGGGTTCTGGGCTTCGGAATGAAAGGAGGGAACGCAGGTGAGAAAACGAAGCAAGCAGGTGGGCAAACCGTGAGGTGAACCTGGCCCTAGCTTGGTGTGGCAGAGGCTGGAGAGAAGGCGAGGACGCTAAAGAACCGGACGGGTGAGAGGAGGGGAAGGGGCTGGGGTTCTGGGTCCTACATGTAACACCCCTCCCCCGCTCCCTCAGCTAAGCTTTTGACAAGGGCTGGCGGGACTGCCTGCCCTGGCGGGACTGGGGAGCGGTCTCCCTGGCGACCGTTTCCCAGGCGACTCCTGGTGAAGCGGCGACGGGCCGCCTCGTGCCCATCAACAACTGGGTTCTGTCTCGAGTTCTGGGACGGAGCTTTGGAGAGTCATTAGGGCGAGCGGGGAGGTGCCGGGAAGCTCAGAAAAGAGCAAATGTGGGGCTGACAGATGTCCCAGCCAAGCCTCCTATTGGAAGATCTGGTCTCCATGCGGGCGGGGAAGTGCTGGAGGGGGTCGGGGGTGGGCTCTACCTAAACACAAGGACTTGGAGGTCCTTTTTATTTGTTTCTGCTCTCCAGAGCCTCACTAGTTTTATACCCAACAGTTAATTCTCTATTTGGTTTGCAAGACTCTGCCAGACTTAATATCATGGGCTTCCTCCACTACCTGCTTTCATCCGTTGACCAAAAATACCCAACCTTTGGTTACATCACAGAAAGGAACATTCCATGTTTTCTTAGGGAAACACCCAGAGTAAGAAATTTTGATTTTTTTAGGGATGGGGTGCCACTGCAGGAGAATGAACCCAGTTGTGGTTGTAGGGGTCATCAGAGATGTTAGGGGTGGAGCCAGGACTAAAGCCAATCTAGACCCACATTGCTCTCAATTGCCGCGTTCCATCCATAGACTGTGGCTGTGGATTCCCCAAGTTACTGAGGGTGGTGTTGCTTTCCAGACAGTTGGCAGAGAGAGAAGTTTGCTACCATGGAATCACCGGAAGAGCCTGGAGCGTCAATGGATGAGAACTACTTTGTGAACTACACTTTCAAAGATCGGTCACACTCAGGTCGGGTGGCTCAGGGCATCATGAAACTGTGTCTGGAGGAAGAGCTCTTTGCCGACGTCACCATTTCAGTGGAAGGCCGGGAGTTTCAGCTGCACCGGCTGGTCCTCTCAGCTCAGAGCTGCTTCTTCCGGTCCATGTTCACTTCCAACCTGAAGGAGGCCCACAACCGAGTGATTGTGTTGCAGGATGTCAGCGAGTCTGTTTTCCAGCTCCTGGTTGATTATATCTACCATGGGACTGTGAAACTTCGAGCTGATGAGCTGCAGGAAATTTATGAGGTGTCAGACATGTATCAGCTGACATCGCTCTTTGAGGAATGTTCTCGGTTTTTGGCCCGCACAGTGCAGGTGGGGAACTGCCTTCAGGTGATGTGGTTGGCAGATCGGCACAGTGATCCTGAGCTCTACACTGCTGCCAAGCACTGTGCCAAGGCCCATCTGGCCCAGCTGCAGGGCACAGAGGAATTTCTCCACTTGCCCCACCATCTACTCACTGATATCATCTCCGGTAAGTTGAGGGAGAGGGCATATCGTACTCAGCTACTTAGATCTCATGCTCAGTAGATATTCAGTTTCAGGAGAAAGGAACCCTCAGGCTTCCTGGTGTTGGTTTACAGTATTGTTGGTGGGAATTTCCATACCTTCTGAGAGAAATTGAGTTGAAATTTAGTACAGCTGCTGTCAGAGACAGAGTCCCTTTCTGAGGAAGGCTCCAGGAAGATAAAAGCAGCAGCACTTACCCACAGAAGGTAGTGAGGAAATATCTGCATTTATACTCTAATCTCACCTGTGCTTGTCACCCTGCACTCTGCATGAAACTGTTACCTAAGTAAATTTATAATGGATGAGTCAAGATACCTAAAAAACTTTCTGCGGGATGGGCCAAGTGTAGGTGACGGTCCTGACCCTGCAAGCGAGCGCTGCAGCCCAGTAGATTGCTTTCATAGCAAACGGGAGCATACCAAACGATCGTTTCGATGAAAGAAATGACAACTTTAGATTGATTTCTCGTATACATACCCGTATGTACGTGCTGGTAGTCTTAAGTGGTTCGCAGCTTTAAAGCCCTTGGCTGCAGACCTCCCTTTCACTGACCGTGCCTTTCCTCTCGCTCCCAACAGATGGAGTTCCATGTTCCCAGAACCCAACAGAGGCAATAGAAGCCTGGATCAACTTTAATAAAGAGGAAAGAGAAGCTTTTGCAGAGTCACTCAGGAGTAGCTTGAAGGTAAGGCAGATTTCTTTAGTGTTGGGACACTATAGTAGCCATGCATTACACTCAACAACTGGACTGGCCTTTGGTGGCTGGTGAATAGGTCATCCCTGGCTCGAAGCAGATAGGAGCCAGGGAAGAGGATGTGGGTATGTGAGCTCAAAAGCCACCTGAGCCTGAAAGCTCCTTGAGAGAACTCCTTCCGTTACTGCATTAACAGTCCTAAGGACCTTTTGTCCGGATCGCCCTCTCATGGTAGTTTTGTAACGCTGAAAGCGTGAGTGCAACAGAGGCCCTGCCTCAGCACAAAGCGCCTGAAAGAAGTGACTGGAGAGTCAGGGTGACACACAGAAACTGGAAGGGAGTTGGTTAGAGCAAAATGCAAGTGTGTGGTCCAGGACCTTAAGCCGATGCGTCTCAGCTGAGCCTTAGCATAGAACTGTTAGATATCATTTATAAATTTAATTTTTCCAATAGGAAATTGGGGAGAATGTGCACATTTATCTGATCGGGAAAGAGTCATCTCGTACTCACTCGTTGGCCGTGTCCTTGCACTGTGCGGAAGATGACTCCATCAGTGTAAGTGGCCAAAACAGCTTGTGCCACCAGATCACTGCAGCCTGCAAGCATGGTGGAGACTTGTACGTGGTGGGAGGGTCCATCCCACGGCGCATGTGGAAGTGTAACAATGCCACTGTGGACTGGGAGTGGTGTGCACCCTTGCCCCGGGACCGGCTCCAGCACACCCTGGTGTCTGTGCCCGGGAAAGATGCCATATATTCCCTGGGTGGCAAGACACTGCAGGATACCCTCTCCAACGCAGTTATCTACTACCGGGTAGGTGATAACGTCTGGACAGAGACCACACAGCTAGAGGTGGCTGTGTCAGGGGCCGCTGGAGCCAACCTCAACGGGATCATCTACTTACTAGGGGGGGAGGAAAATGACCTGGACTTCTTTACCAAACCTTCCCGGCTCATCCAGTGCTTTGACACAGAGACAGACAAATGCCACGTGAAGCCCTACGTGCTGCCCTTCGCAGGCCGCATGCACGCAGCTGTGCATAAGGATCTGGTGTTCATCGTGGCGGAAGGGGACTCCCTGGTGTGCTACAACCCCCTGCTAGACAGCTTTACCCGGCTCTGCCTTCCTGAGGCCTGGAGCTCTGCCCCCTCCCTCTGGAAGATCGCCAGCTGTAATGGGAGCATTTATGTTTTTCGGGACCGATATAAAAAGGGAGATGCCAACACCTACAAGCTTGACCCTGCCACTTCAACAATAACCGTCACCAGAGGCATTAAGGTGCTGCTTACTAACTTACAGTTTGTGTTGGCCTGAGGCTGTGGCGGGAAGAGCAGCTGACTTTTGTCCTCCCCTTTTCCCAGCACCTACCCATCCAAACTTAGAAGTCCCCAAGCTCCCAGCTGAGAGTACTGTTCTTCTTTGGCCCATGTTCAAAAGGCTGCGCTCAGCCCTTCCCTGAACCCGTAGGGGTGGCCCTTTGGGGGCTTCCTAGACTGCTGTTGCTCCGCTGGCTGCTTGAGCTCTCTATGCAGGCCGGCCTGTCCTTCGCCATCCTGGTAATCCTGTGCCTCACCACAGACTGCTTAGAGCAAGCCTCTTCCCAGAGGTCGGCACAGCCTCCCCTTCACCTGATTAATGTTCAATAGAAGCACCCTGCTCCCTGATCCCAGGACAAAAGGAAAGATGCCCAGTCTTCCTTTTTTCTACAGCCTGCAAAATGGCTACTTGGTAATTTTTTCACAGAGAATTAGGTGTTAAGAGTTTTCCTTTGGGCTTTGGTTGGGAGAATGAACAAAGCTGAAGGTGTCCTTCACCAGCAAGAGTCAACTCTAGAATTCTGGACATTCTCTATTGTTTTCTCAGCTATCTGTCAGGAAATATACACTCTGGTTTGATTTTTGGCTTACTCTAAGGAATAAGCCAGAAAAAAGTAAAGGACTATTTCCGATTAATAGCAGAAACATTTTTGAAATTCAAATATATAAGGTCTCTACTCTTATAAAAGCTCTAAGCCCAGCCAAGAGCTAGGAACTATTCATACAAATAAAAGTTTTGAAGGGCTATGTGTGTCTGTTTTGAATTCTGAAGGGGTGACTCTCCAAGGGAAGCTAATTATATGCGCACACATTTCTAAGTCAGCCGCGGTCCAGACTGAATCCCGTATTTCCCATTTTACACGCAGGATCACTGCTCCAAAAGAGGCCAATGAATTGAGGGTCTGGCCAGAGCTGAATATTTCTCCTCTTTTCCTAGTGATAAATGTCTTTGAGTTATAGTTCTAATATCATTAAATACAACATTAGGTGCACGGTAGGTTTCTTTGACCCTGTTCCAAAAAATAAGACACCTCATCCCTTCCCCGTATCCCCAGGCCCTGTGAAGAGAAGCCATGTTAAATCTTTCCAGCCGAACAACAGAACTCTGAAACCAGCGTTCAGGAAAATGAAACCAAGACAAAGGGGGCACAATCACCCATTATTCAGCGCACTTCTATTAACTTCGCCTGGGCTTGAGCCCCATTGGTCCTGTTAAACCTTTTCATTCTGTTGCCAGCAGGGCTGTCTCGAGTTCTTTCTAATCCACACACTTCATGTCTGTGATGTCGGCTGCGTCTCGTTCTTTGCTGCCCCTGCAGTAATCTCCTTGTGGAACTCTTTGAGAATTTCCACCTGGCCAGGTCTGATGTGGATGTGTGACCGGATCTTGGTGATGGCTCCCACCGCCTCCTCTGGGCTCCAGCTGTACACCTGAAGCACACGGTCGAGAAATCAGCAGAGAAAGAAGCTGGTGGATGGTGTCCTTCACTTGATGACAGGTGCTAACGGGCTCCCAGAATTTCATTTTTTAAAAAACTCCATGGCGGTGGGGGGCGGGGATGTTAAAAACCATGTTCCATATATTGTAAGTGGGACAGCACTTCAGTGCCCTCAGTTAACCTGCCCCTAGTTACTGTGTGACAGGTGGGGGACACAAGCCAGTCTTTCTACCTAATTCTTGCTCGGCCAAACCCTAGCAAAAGGAGGCTGAACATGGGAAGCTTAGATCCTGATTCAAGCCTGCCGAGGCCTACCAGCTGTCCTCCCTGAGCAGGACCCCTGGGTACAAGTTTCCTGGAAAGGAGATGTTTTTACGGAACTTGTTCCCATGGCTAGAAAAACAGCACTTTTATAATCTGACTGGGAGAGTTATCTTTGTGTCCTAAGGAAACGTACTGGTTTAGAACTCAACAGAACCAAGAAAATACGGATTTCTAGCCTGTTGGTTCAATTGTCACTTGGCCCCAAATATCCTACAGAGACCCTGTTTCTAGCCAACAGTCCTAATGACCAAAGCCTTAGTATTGCTCAGTCGTACACCCGCCAGTGCACAGTAACACAGACAAGGACGGGCTGGTTCTCTTTACATTTCCTTTTTCCTTAAACTACCCACATGACTTCATAAGTGCTCTGCAGGGGCCAGACAGGTAACAAAAACGAGCCAGATAAAAGTTACTGGCTTCTAAATATTTTTCAAAAATGTCCCACCTGCTGATAATAAGAAATTGACAGGCAAAATTCCACTGGATCCTGTTTCTAGAACCTAACGTCCAGAACTATACTCTGAAATACTTGAAGAAATCTGAGTACTATAAACCTATAAGCAATCAGCACTATTTACAGTACTAGACTTCCTGACGTGCTATTTTTAATAAGTGTTTCTAGCCTTTAGCTGGTGTTAATATCCTTTGCAACTCTTAATTTGAGGAAAGAGCATCAGAGAAAGAAGCCATTTTTGCTCTGGTTACAGAGCTGGCAGGTGGCAAAACCACACATCAGCCTAACTATAAATCTCAGGTGCCTTCCACCTCCCAACAGCCTGAAACCAGTGACATGGCTCCTTCCAGCAAGACCCACTGGTAGACTATGCTACTGAAGTTCTGGAAATCTGCTGTAAATGGGACCAGTGCAGAAAGACCTTTCCTACCTGAATCAGATACGCCGCCACCATTGTGGCACTTCTGGAACGCCCAGCCTTACAATGCACGTAGACACTCTGGCCCAGTGACTGGTACTTGAGAGCAAATTGGACTCCTTTCCGGAGGTTAGCCAAGGTTGGGATTCCAGTCATGTCTATGGTGCTGAGTCGCAGCTGCTCAACTCCCACTTTCCTCCACTCCTGAAACCAGGTCCACCAGCATAAAAAGAGTGAAAAAAGCCAAGCATTAGTAGTATGAAGATGGGCTCCCAAGAGGCAGCAAAGCAACCAGGAAGCCTCAGGGTTTCCTCAGGGTTCAATGTGAATGTACTGTTTACTGTTTTCTAAACAAGAAACTTCTTATAGAAATATTTTTTTCTTTGTGTGTGAGTGTTTTAGAAATAGTTTTTAAAGGGCTGATCTACGTGGTTAGTCTTTCATCAAACAATAGCTATGCTGCTGAGTTAGAATTATGTCCAAGATTTTAAATTTTCTTAAAGTGCCCTTTGGGTATTTGCAATTTTAGTTGCAAAACATTAGCTGTATAAAATTCATCTACAGAAGTTGTGCGGCTATGTTTTTGCATAATCTCGGAGCCTGTGCAGGGACCTAGCCATGGGGTTGGACTACTGTATTTTGCAAGAGCTTTCTATTGGTACATAAGTCTCTCTCTTTTTTTTTTTTTAACCACTTTTTTCTTGAGCATGTACATGGTAGAAAATAGTTATTTTAAAATTAAAACAATGCACCTACCTTTGCTATGGCATATTATCATTTTGCAAAGAAGAAAAGAATCAGAACCAGGAGAAAAAAGGTCTCTGGTGAACAGGGAAACTTTTTTTTTTTTTAAGACTTCAGATAGGCTCCAGCTACTCATTATTAATCTCTTTAGCCAGAACCAGAGCCTTGAGGACTTTGAATGAAGGTCAATAGTGCTCATGAAATGAAATGAACAAACAGCAGTTTTGCAGCATGAGGCTTATGCTTCAGCCACACCAGAAAAACCCAGGGAACTTGCTAAATATTCAGATTCCTGGGATCCATCCTAAAGTTTTGAGTCAGGATCTCTGGGGCTTGTAACCTAGGAATCTGACATTTGAACAAGACTACCAGATCATTCTTAGACACATTACAATGTGAGAACCCCACTGCGTGCCTTCGAGATTTCTTTTCCAGGCTAATGGGATAGTATAGCGCAGTCGTACAAATGTCATTGCCATACATCCAAGACACCAAGCACCTTTTTGTGACTCCTCTTGCTCCACAGCACTGACCACACTAAGGAACATCTACCATTCTAGCTAACAGCTCCTGAGGTTTGGTGGCAAGGTACTTTGGGAAATCCAAGGAACTGTTATCTATTCCTTAAAAATGTATGCCATCACTAATCAAAATATTTAAAATGAGTCATAAATAATTTTAAGGTTTCAAAAAAAATACAGGTTGAAATTACAGCATCTTCATCAGGCCAACAAGAAAGGTAATTACAACAGTAAACAAGAAAGGTAATTGTGTAATGCTAATAGATGCCAAACACTATATAAAGATAGGAGAACATCTTTATTTAAAGATAGGGCAATGTCTAATAACCACTGTGGAGAGTTCCACAAACAGGCATTCACATTTAATGAAAATTATGTTTTAGGGCTGAACTTTATGACAGTATTTTGGAATTCCACTATGTCTTTAACATATGAATAAAAATTCCCTCAAATCAAGAGCCAAATGAACCTAATGCAGTTTTTCGGTGGGCTGCTTTTACGATAAATTTACTATGGGGGTCTGGGGAGAGGGTAGCTTTTCTTCAGAGTTTACAGGCCTTCATCTTGAAAGCCTACGGCAGCGGCAGCGCCTAATCCACACTTAGTGCTCAATGTTGAATGAATGAAATTCAGCAAGCCAAAGAAAAGTTGCCTTTCAGATTTAGTTACTGATTCTTAATTACCGAAATAAAGACTACATTTGTGCACAAAGCCGTAATCAGACTTTGTCAACTCTACTTTCAAACACCTTTCACTACAGTTCCTGTTTCACGATTAGTTTCTACCTTCGGCCGCAGCCATTTAAGTTTCGAGTACTGGACCCTCCTCTTGAGGAGGCAAAAGAGCCTGGGACACTAGTGGCCGGATCATGGTCCCCCGCAGCGCCCCTCTCCCAGGCTCCCCCCGGCGCTCCGGGGCCGGGCCCCCGGCCCCGGCCCCGGCCCCAGGGCCCTCACCTTGGCGGAGTTGCACAGGAATCTGGTTTCATACTCCTCGTTCATGGTGATCACCCCGCGCACGTTCTCGTCCTCTACCAGCTGCCGAGGTAAAGAGGGGGCTCAGAACGGGCAGCCGAGGCCCGGGCGGCGCTCGCCCGGCTCCCAGGCCCGGCGCGGCCCGGCCTCCCGGCCCGGCTCACCCGGCGCGTCATGCTCCGCAGCGGCAGCGCGCCCAGCAGCACCGTGCGGTCGATGCGGTGGTACCAGTCGCGGCGCCCCGGGCCCGGCATCTTCCCGCGGAACAGCGTGTACAGCAATGTCGGGTAGAAGAGCACCCGGGCCAGGCCGGCCTCCAGCAACGTGCCGGACGCCATCCGGCCCCACGCGGCCTGGCGCAGCAGCGACCCGTCCACCGCCGGGCTCGCGGTCGGCGGCCGCCCGGAGAGCCGGGAGGACGACGAGGACGCGGGCCGCGAGTCGCCCGAAGCCTCTTGCGGAGGCGACGCGGTCAGCGCGGGCCCCTCGAGTGCCAAGACCTCTGGCCTGGCCCCCAGGGAGTCCGCCTTGGACCCCGGGGATCCCGGGACCCGCTGCATGGGCCTGGAGGCGGGGCCGCCGGCCTCGGGGGAGGGACCAAAGGTTCCTGGGCGGGGAACTAGGGCCCCGGCCCAGGGAGGGCGCGTCCTGGCCCCGGAGCCCTGTAACTACACCGCGTGTCAAACTGTGACCCATGCCTGTGGCCGGTGAGCCTCCCCTCAAGGGAGGAGGCTGTGACCCCAAGTGAAGGGGGCTCTTTCCCCTGCGTGTGGAACTGTGACCCGGGCAGAGGGAGGCGGGGCCCTGGCCAATGACCTGTGGGCCTGTGACGCTCCCAAACCTCGGTCAGACGGAGAGGGCTCTGACCCCAGGTGAGGGTGTGACAGCGCCCAAGCCGAAGATGAGACCGGAAGAGCCTCTATAGTAGGGGTAGCCCCGAAAGGTCGAGTAGAAGAGGCTTTGAGCTTTTAAGCAGAGGACTGTCTTGGTGGAGATGGCCAGATCCTGGGCAAATAGGCAACCTGGGTTGACAAGTACCTTCTCACCTCCCCTCGCCCCAACCTCATCTGCCTAAAGTTATGGCTCCCTCCTCCTGACCCAATTGCATATTATGGAAAAAATGTAATATCTATAATATATAATGAAAATACATTAATACATCATTAAGAAAAATACTATGCCCTGACTAGTATAGCTCAGTTGGTTGGATATCCTCCCACAAAATAAATATTTTTTTAAAAAGAAAAGGAAAAAAGGAAAGAAAAATATGATACGCTTAAATATAAAACCCACAACCTACGAAGTGGTAAGAGGAACAGCTGTAATGCTGGTTATTTACATTTAAATAGTTGTCTGAGATGTGGGTCTGGTACTTTATTTATTTTTAAAGATTTTATTTTTAGAGAGAGGGCAAGGGAGGGAGAAAGAGGGGGCAAGAAACATCAATACGTGAGGGAAACATTGATAGGGTGCCTCTGTTACGCACCCCATCAGTGGGCCAAACACACAACTCAGGTAATGTGCCCTGACCAGAATCCGAAGGGGTGAACTTTTGGTTTCTAGGACACTGCCCAACCTACTGAGTCACACTGGCTGAGGCTATTGTTTCTTTTTTAATTTACTTGAGAGAGAGAGAGAGAGGGAGACATTGACTTGTTGTTCCACTTATTTCTGCATTCATTGGTTGATTCTTGTATGTGCCCTGACTGGGGATGGAACAGCGACCTTGGTGTATGGAGATGATGCTGTAGCCAACAGTGCTACCCTACCAGGGCTAATGCTTCTTTTCAAAACAAATTAACCCTTTATTCTATTTTTGATACATTTAAAATATATATTTTTTAATAAAAGTTGACTAATCCTATTATTTACCGTTGTGTGACTTTTTCTCACTCAACAACATAAGTATTATGCCATGTCAGCATAGATAGATACGTATTTACTTTATCCTTTTCAGAGAGTTACACAGTATTCCAACATGTGGCTCTCAGTTCGATTTTAAAAGTGTTTAAGTGGCCTCTATAGTCCAGACAATATCCCAGCACTTGGAATACACCACTGAGGGTTGCCGCCCTCTTTTCTCTTGCTTTTCCTGTATGAACTGTATTTTGGGATAACCAAATATCCCTAGTTGGTGAGGTAAAGTTCTCTACAGCATACTTCCTGTTAATAAATGTGGGAGAAATAATAAAACTAGAAACTCAGTATTTTGCATTTCAGCTAATAAATGTGGAAGGAATGATAAAACTAGGAACTCAGCATTTTGCAATCCCTTATGAAATTATTGATCCAGTCAATGGTCATAAATGGATAAAAGCATGAGTTGAAACGCTGATAGGAAACTCATGTGGAGGGATTAGGCTGAGGCCACCTAAACTGATTAATCTCCATGTGGAGAAAAGCAGGACAATCTGACGTCATTGGCCTCCAGAAATGATGCTGCCTGATGTTCATAGCACCAACCTCAAAAAAGTTGAAACTGGACTTAACCAGGTCTCGAGAGCTAACTTTTTAAAAAGATTTTGCTTTTTTTATTTTTTGAGAGAGGGGGAGGAAGGGGAGGAAAGAGAGGAAGAGACATATCAATGTGTGAGAGAAGCACTGGCTAGTTGCTTCTGGTGTATCCCCAACAAGGACCTGGCCAGAAACTCAGGTATGTGCCCTGACTGAGAATCAAACCTGCAACCTTTCAGTTTGCAGGCTAATGCTCCATCCACTGAACCACACCAGCCAGGCTAACTTTCATTTACAGGCAATGTAAGTGATAGAGGGATAAGTTAAATGTTATCACGGGGTGGGGTGGGGCCAACAGAAAAATCCAGAATATATAACGTTTTACAGAAAAAACTGACTCTGCCCTGGCCAGGTTACTCAGCTGGTTAGAGCATTGTCCCCACACAACACTGTGGGGTTCAATCCCTGGTTGGGGCACATACAAGAAGCAACCAATGAATGCATAAATAAGTTGAACAACAAATCCATGTTTCTCTCTCCCTCTTCCTCCTCTTCTTCTTCCTCCTCAAATAAAAAAAAAAAAAAGGACTTAGTTGCTTTATTGAGTCAAAGCATGAAAAAAAGAATGGGAGAGAGGGCCCTCCCATTAGAGGCTGCCTCAAATTAGGGAGTCCCAGAGACATGAAAACTTTCCCCAATACCCCTGGAAAACACTGTTCTATTTTCTGTCACTATGATCTTGACTACTAGTCTAGGTACCTCATAGAAGTGGAATGATGTAGTGTATGGCCTTTTGTAACTTATTTCACTCAGCATCGTGTCCTCAATATTTATCCCTGTTGTAGAAGGTGTCAGGATTTCCTTCCTTTTTAAGGCTGAGCATCATACCATTGTATGTATGCGAGGTCTGTCCGGAAAAAGTCCAACCATTGTTATTATAACGAGAATGGTTTGCAGGACATGGATGTAACCTGGCAGCCAAGGAGAGTGGACTGGAATGCACATGTATGAACAATGAAGACTTGGCTGTACTAGTCAGTGGGGGTGGTAGATGCTGATGAGTGAGCATGTGTACTGTGTGGCTGTCACATTCAAAATGACTGAGCAAGCAGAGCAACAAATCTGCATCAAATTTTGCATTAAGCTCGGACATTCCTCCATGGAAACTATTGGGATGATTCAGAAGTCTGGAGCTATGAGCAACTGGTGATTGGCGGCTTCATCACAACAATGTGCCTGCTCATGCATCATGTCTCGTGCAGAGTGTTTTGGTGAACAGCAAACCACCCAGGTGACTCAGCCCCCTTCAGCCCAGATTGGCACCCTGCAACTTCTGTCTTTTTCCAAAACTAAAATCGCCTTTGAAAGGGAAGAGATTTTAGATGGTCAGTGAAATTCAGGAAAATACAATGGGGTAGCTGATGGCGTTTAGGAGAATTGCATGAGGTCCCAAGGTGCCGACTTTGAAGGGGACTGAGGTATCATTGTCCTATGTACAATGTTTCTTATATCTTGTATCTTCCTCAATAAATGTCTCTATTTGTTATATTACATGGCTGTATACCTTCTGGACAGACCTGGTATACCACATTCTGTTTATCCATTCATTCATCAGTGAACACTTGGGTTCTGAAGCCCAACTCTTAATGAGCCTGGGCAAAAAGAGTGATCTACAGCTCACATAACAAACTTTGGAAAGGACAAGTGGGTAAATGGCAACAGGCATCACCAGGGACTCAGATGCTGCCAGGACTTTTTTGTTTCTCACTATTCCTTCCCAAGCTCACCTCTCCCCATATTTGCCTCCTACAAGAGAAAACATCTCTTCCTTTAGTTGTTAACAATGAGGAAGAATTGACCATATACATATATGTATATATATACACATACACATATATTTATATATACATATATACACACATATCTTTTATATACATACATATACACACACATATCTTTTTCTTAAAAACAACAATGGGAATTTTTAAAAAGTATTTATTTACTTTTAGAGAGAGGGAAAGGGAGGGAGAAAGAGAGGGAGAGAAACAGCAATGTGCAAGAGAGACATCGATCAGTTGCCTCACACACTCCCAATCAAAGACCTGGACCACAACCCAGGCATGTGCCCTGACAGGGAATTGAACCAGGGACACTTCGGCTCACAGGCCAGCACTCAATCCACTGAGCCACACCAGCCAGGGCCAAAACTAAGAATTTTGTAATTTGCTTTTTGACATTTAACCATGTATCTTGAGCATCTTCCCATGTCAGTCAATGTGTGTGTGTGTGTATACATATATATACATATAAATTTTTATAACATATATTCCTAATAGGTTTTGATATGCCAACTTTTAAATGTACCATCATTTCTTTAATTATTTCTCTATTAACAAATGTATATGGAACCCAACTAGGTAGCTTCTTTTTTTTTTTTAACCAATAACAAATATAGTCAGTTCCATGAGGTCAGAGACTCTATCTTTATTCATATATATAACTCCATTGTCTGACATAGTTGGCATTCAATTAATATATTTAGCTGAATTAAAAAATGTTGCAGCAAATGCCCTTGAATATACTTCACCCACCTATGTTTCTGAAGGAAACATTTCTAGAAATACAATTGCTTTATTAAAAGATATGACCATATTTTTAAGAGGTTGTGGAGAACTTTTTATAGTTTTGTTGAGTATAATTGATATACACGACACATATTTAAAGTATATATTTTAGCCCTGGCTGGTATGGCTCAGTGGATTGAGTACTGGCCTGCAAAACAAAGAGTCGCTGGTTCGATTCCCAGTCATGGTACTTGCCTGGGTTGTGAGCAAAATCCCCAGTAGGGAGGTGCTCAAGAGGCAACCACACATTGCTGTTTCCCTCACTGTCTCCCTCCCTTCCTCTCTCTAAAGATAAATAAAATCTTAAAAATATATTTGAATATATTGTGACATATATATATACACTTGTGGAACTATCACCACAATGAAGATAATGAAACATAACCATCACCTCCAAAAGTTTCTCAAGTTCTTTTTAACTTCTTCCTCCCACACCTCTATATTCTCATACCACATTCCCTGGCAACCACCCATCCCCTACAGACTAATTTGCATTTTATAGA